TTAAATTTGTTTGTAAATGTACACATTAGACCAACATGAACATATTTTCTCTTTCAAGAAATAACACGTGTTTCAGCAAGAAATGGCAAAATTGCTATTCATTATTAAGTTGTCCATTTCAACAGCAGTGTCAACTTATTTCTCACTCAGTCTTTGTAAACAGAGGAATTTTGAAAAGATGAAAGTCGCGTTGGGAATCATTAGCAATCCTCCTACAATTCTTCACTCATCACTTCAAATTCATTATTATTCATTGGAAATCTTTAAACCTGTTTCCCACACTGGCACCGTTCTAACTAGATTAATATGTTCTAAATTGAGACATTCGTCACAATACAATTGAAAACATGTTGATTTATGCGTTGGTTGAATTCTTGATTTATGCAGCAGTGCATGGTGCCAAAAATCCTTAAAAATTTAAATATAGGTAGCTTTACCATTATAGTTGGTTTAAGGCTCTGTGTGCAGTTTGGTGATTTAATGCAGCAACACATGGTGACATAACAACCTGACCAATATCAACACATCACATCATTGATTTTATAGATTATCCATGCAGTCATGACATCATAACTTAATGTAGATCTACAAAGTACATGTCATGAGCCAACATATTGTCAAAACACTGACCATAGAACTTGATTGCACTGTCATGAGGTCACATTTGAATTGGTGGAATCTTTTTTTGCATTTAAACTTATTCCTATTGCAAAGATTGGTCATTGTCCAAATTGTCCAAATGTGGGTGTTTAAACAAATGAAAAAAAAAACAGTGTAACCTTAAAATGGTAGTGTCATGACGTCAATTGTTTCACAGTATAATGTATATCTGCAAAGGAGTTTAATTGTTGTAGGATTTATTTCAATTTCAACTGATTTCTAAGACAGATGACACCTGCCAACAATTATAGTTCTATCACGATATTTCAGATTCAACAGTCAATAATTTACAAATGGATTAGACAAGTTGATTTAAGTGTGAACTTAACTTTTTTTGTTAAATTTTTTCAGTCACAAGAGCTAACTTTCAAGCTACCTCTGCAAGATTTCTGCACTGACTAGAAATCAACCTGGTATACCAATGTTTTGTTAAAAAATCAAAACGAAAATGGTATTGAACTAGTGTAAAGGATCATCATAAATTTCATACAATTATGACAAGATATTAGTAAACTGCATCAAATAATATAATCCAAATAATAACTTGTTATTATGGCCACCACCCCCTCTGGGATTATCCAATTAATTTGTCTCTTTCTTTATATTAGCCATCTCTAGTTGGACTAACAGTGACTCTCAGTCTCATTATTAACGCTATCATGGACACTGGAGAGACTCCGTTAGCACGGTCAGATTAATGAGAGACTGGTCGTTCTGACATTAAACATGACAACAACAAGATATCTTTCACACTCGTCAAGACATTTCAGAGATATCATATTTCCTTTCATTTTCTTTCATCATCAAACTACTTCTGCTTGGTTAAATGATAGCACAATACCTGACAAAAGAGATTTCGGTTAACACAGGTTACCAAAACAGATAATATTTTTCTTAAATAAACTGACGTGCATGAATTATACAAATTAAAAAAGTGTTAATCATTCATTATATAGGAGTTTATAGTTTATATAATAACACTATGATATTATTCATGCTTATTTATTTGCTAATTAGGCTTTAACTAACTTTCAGAAAAAATTACAAGCACATCTCCTTAAGGTCTAATGTATCACAATTATGCAAATATATGCCACAAACAACCTACTTTATAGATTCCTTGAGGCATTATTTTCAGTTTCCATAGATTAGATAATTGCAAAAAAATCAGACCATCAGATCAAGATGACATTGTTTCCAGCACGAAACAAAAGACAAAATAAGGCTAATGATGATTTATAGTTTAATTTTTTTTTAGGTGTTCACTTACAGTCTTTAGGAAATTCGCAGCGCAATACAATAATTCTTGCGTAATCATTTGTTAAATTTTTCACTACCAAAAGATACATGTAACTGTATCAATCTGATTATTTGAGATGGTTTTTAATATTGTTAGACATTTAATATACTCTACAAATATTTTGTTTTTTGTGTCTGATTTTGTTAGAAAGACATGGTATGCTTATTTGTATAAGTGAAATGAATGGAGTTTTATGTCCTACGCTTATTTGTATAGAAGAGCAATAAAAGACATTGTTATCTCCTCAAGACATTTCAACTAAATTATTCAGTTCTTTCTGCATTCTCTTATGACAATGTGTGTATCAATATGAAGGCATGCAATTATTGAAAAGAAATTCTTTCTAGATTTCAGCACATTTTAATTTGTTATGAGTCATTCTTGTTTAGAGAATTGATCTATTGTTTAATGGGTGGGACCTAAACATGTAAGAAGAAATATACAAACATGGCTGACTTTCAGTACAACACACCAGAAGGTAGATTTCATATCATCCTAAACAAAAGATATAAAAACATGACAAGTAAAGGTATGGCTTACAGTATAGTCCGAAATAGTAATACTAGTTTGTGCCCTTGATTTACCAAGTAGGAAATTCTAACAAAAAATTCTAAACCCTCTAAAATTGATCTTATTTTTAATACAATAGTTAGAAGGTAACATGATATTGTCAATAGTAGATAACAGAAACTAGAAAGGAGTTGGTATAAGACCAAAGAAAGTTCTAAGAAGTCCATGATTAAAAGAGCTGGTTTTCTAGTGATAATTTTCACAATACAAAGTTCATAAAACCAAAGTTCTTCATCAGCAGACTAAATATAAGGGTTCCAAATTTGAGGTAATAATAGAACACATAACAAAGTTGTAGTGTAATTGTAAGGAACTTGATACAACACTGCCCTTCAAGATTTAATTTTATTATGAACATTGACACATTATGGATTCTGTGACCTTGACATGAATAATATTTTTACTCCTGACAGTTGTTATTTTATCTGAGAAAAACAATAAACAAGCCAAAACAAAGATCAGCCGTATCTTTCAACTTCAACCTTCATATTCTACTCAGAAAATCTTCTGAATTGACAGAAACAATGTTGAACAACAATTGTTATCAACTACTAGACATGTTGGATATCTATTGAGGTATATTTTAGAGCATCGATTTCAGCTGAAATATATCAGCTAGGTAAAACATCATTAGTCACAATGCTTGCTCCAACAATTCAACAAAGCCAAATTCTCAAGTATCAAACAGACGATTGATTTAGCCAATGAAGTCACAATTAGGCTAATACAAAATAGCTTTGACACAATATAAATGGCGGAGTACTTTGCCTCTCTATTTTATTTCCTAACTAGTCCTTTATCAAAGTTTGAAATCATTTTCAGGAATGTCTTTTCCAGCTGAACAAAGTTTTGATCAATACAAAAAGAAATCCCATGCTAATTCCTTTGTACATGTATCTTACTGTTTTAGTAACCTAACAAGTTGAATAACAATAGGGCACAATCCATAAGTCTATGCATTTCAGTTTTAGCGTATTTTTGTCAAAAACAAACAAAGAATTGGACATATCTTTTAAATTTTGAACAGGGTCTGGTAACTCATTCATATTGGCATGCAAAAGGCATTGAAATTACACCCTAGCCTGTCTAACATATTGTTGTAAAACACCTTGTTCCTAATCTACTGTTCTCTTATGCAAACTACTGGGAATAGAAGACAAGAAGCAATATTGTAAACCATGTAGTAAGTAATAAAAAAGAGGATTGAAATGGTGGTCATGTCAATAAGAAGACAGTAAAGAGTCTAGAATATTTCCCTTGAGTCTGTGATTATAATTCAATACGATAATAATAGTTTGTGGAATTTCGACCAATATAACAAATTAAACAATCAATATACTTGATCAATTATTGATGAATGTTCCTTTCTTATTGACTAAACTGTAACAGTCTTAATATTTCTGTGTTTTATAATTCTAGTGGTTATAATCATAGTTCAGGTTGAATATTGGTATTTCACAACCTTTTACTAACACTGTCCTACATTTCACAATTACACTCAAAGATGAGGAAATTGTCTCATCTGTCAGTGGCATATGGCTAAATTTTGATAAAAATTAGGACAAAAAATGATCTCGCAAAAACTTAAAACATCCTTTTATCGGTTGATACAAATGAACAGATAAGTTAGACCCAAATTAAACAAAACTTTAGAAGGCACTCACTAAACTTCCAAAATACAGAATTAGAAACAGCTTTTCCTTAAGCAATAATATTTCATTAATACTTAATTTAATAATTTCCTAACATAACAGGAATTATCCAGTACAACTTTATTAAAAACATCATCACTCATGGACATCAGACAAATCAATCGCCTTGAATATAAAATACATATAGCCCACAGATTTATAGAACATGGCAATCTTTCAATCAATCTTCCGTACAAATAGGTCATCTGGTATTTCATCCAGCTATATCTATTTTTCTATATTATATCTATTGTGAATTAATTCATACTGGCTGGCTATAATAACATGTAGAAGAAACCCTGATTCAAACATATATCATTAATACAACCCTGGAATAAAATCCAAAAATGAAGTGATTGATGGTTGGTATTCTGGAGAGTGTGATAATGAATTTTTATTAGATATTAATATGATATAGGCTACTAATATAATATATATACATATATATACATCATTTCCATTTATTTTGATATTCATAATCTTTCATTATAACCCCTACACTCCTTCAAACCAGTGTTATAAGAACCAATTCAAGCATTACTAACAGAAATCAAAAAATGTGTGAGCACCTTAACTTAGTTTTCACTGAGTAATGATTGAATAAATAATTAAAATGTATTTGTTAATGAATTAGTAGTATTTATTGTAGCGTTAAAACACTAAATGTTGCGTGACAAACACATCTATGTCTCAGTTTCAGTATTTTGATTCCACTGTATTTGTTTATAATCTACAAAATGAACTGTATATGAACATTTTGGGAAAAAGTGATTATAGCCTTAGATGATATTCAAATGATTACACAGAAAATTGCTTATAACTAATTTAAATGGTGTTTCTCCGTTTCCACCAATTCCAGCATAATGAACAGATACAGGAGATGTTAAAAAAAGACTCCTGAAAACAAAATATATCATGAATATATCATATAATGAATCATATAGTGCACATATTTTACTTAAATACAGTAATTTTTTGAAGTTTTTTTGACATTCATCATGAGAAAATCTGATAACCCACAAAATATCATGATGATATAAAACTTAAATAAAATAATGAAATCAGCTGATGTTGAAAGTCTGAAATTCCTGGTTATCTGTTTCAATACCATGGTTACATGACCAATCCCAGATTATAGTCAGATCATGTGGAATCTGCCTGATATTACTGAACATCTGTCAGAATAAAAGTTTCTTGAACATTTTATACATATAAATATCAAAATGATGAAAAGTTCTAATTAAAATTTACAAATAATCTTATTTAAACATTTTAACTTTATTAGCGCCAGTTTCATATGTATATAAATATATAATAGACAAAACTGATCTTTTGTGTAGAACCTACAGAACATCTCATCCCTTCACAACCAGGAGGGTCAGTGAGGTACATTCTCTTCATCATCAGCCCAATTTAGAACAGATAAATAGGATGTAAAACACCATTTCATTTTATTTCTCCGAGATCATAATCTATCCAATAAATCTACCAAACAGAAGGCATAATAATGTAAATTACTGGTGACATGAATGACATGAGCAGATGACCCCCATATAATTTCTGTCTAAAAAGGTGAAAGGGGAGTTGTTCATCCCACGCTGAATCACGCAACCGAAATCAAATCAATTGGTCTGAGATAAATCTTGTAAAGGGAAATATTATTGGTGAAGTTTATAAATAATAAATGATAGAAAAATAACTCTGGTAGCTTATGACCTTTATGGTCTAACATTGTCTTAATATGGTAGTGAATATAGACTCTAGTATAATGACCAATTGTAAGAAGTTTAATCATTGGTTGTGTTGCCTGTCTACTGTCGACCAATAAATCAATCAATATCCACTATTCATCCAAATATTTTACAGTAAATTCTGTGTTGCTATATTCATATATTGATTACTCAGTGTTTCTATATAGTGTATTACACTAAAAGAATGATGCAGTAATTTGATAGAACATTATATAAAATATTATTACACTATTGTTCTAAATAGAATAGTTTTTAATGATGCTTGATAAATTTCGGAAAGGTACAGAATTTGAACATGTCAATACTGGTAATTTGAAGAGCCATCACCTAAATCTAATATTTGTTGTTAAAATCTCTCTTTCTTTCCAGTTCAGTTCAGTTAATTTGCTTACTTCATCAGCACATCCTGATTTCTACAGTTATATAACCATCAATCAAGGGCAATCAAATGGCACTAGATGTAAATAGGTCGTACAGATTAATTGGTCATTTCATGATTTGAGATTTCCTGTAGCAGTTCTTTAATACTGATTCAAACACTAAATAATCAGAGATGGTTAAGCTTGCTTCAGTTTTTGGAAAATAATGTAAAATTCCATTTGAATTGAGGCATTTATAATTCATTATAGCCTATGTACATATATCCTTACTTCAGGGTGCCAATGCTACTTCACATGTCTTTTATTCATATGGAGCATTCTATACTTGCAGGCAATAAGAACAATTCCAATATTGGCTTTCTTTTAAAACCCTAGGAATCATGTAGGTTTGCTTTGTGCAACTATTGTACAACATTGGTTATTACTGCCTTAATAAATATTATTTCAAGCTACTAGTTTATAGTCAGATCATTGTTTGATGTGTTGACTGCAGTAACATCTGTAATATCTGTTTATGTCATTCTAGTTTTTCCATGTGAAACTGACTTTGTACAATACACTATAATATACAATTCAATAAATAAAAGTGAAATAATTTTAGTTCTGTACTGAAGGACCAATTGATTTACTAAAAGCTAACAAAAAAAAATTTGGTTATAAATATTGACAGCTTATTGAATAAATTAGTTAATTTTTATACATTCATGTCAAACAAACCTAGGTATGAAAAAATCAAACTCTTCTGGGTATATACATTTCTAGATTACTGTTCAGGCCATGGTAGATTGTAGATAGATAATTTTTCAGTCAACAAAATTATTATATTTCTTAAAAGCAATTCCTTACTACATTTCTTTGTCTTGCAATAAAAAAGTCTCTTTAAATCCAGCTGACACATTCATGAATTTTTTAGAATGTGATTAACAATGTCCTCTACGTTGTATTGACATACCCGGCAACAGATGGTAGAAATTCCTGCTCTGTTCTATAGTGTGAAAACAAGAGGTTTAATTGAGTAAAAAATCAAGGTAAATTTACAATCAATATGGTTTGATGATTAGACAATGAACCTGAAGAATCAAGAATTTCCAGCTATTATTGTAGACCTATTATCAGAATTACTTTCATTGAGAAAAGATACAAGCCCAATGAAATTGGCAGTACAGTAAGTAAAAGCACTTCAGAAAAAACGCTTAAGCATCAATATATGTGTGAAAACTTTTTTGAAAAGAAATTGCACCAAAAAATACATCAAAACAAATTCCGCAACAAGGACTTCTAACCAATAACTACCACTTTGCTCGGCCTTTCACACCCAGTTCTGTATTAAATCATTTTTATACGACCACATCTCTCTATGTGGACGTATATTGTCGGCACCCCTGTCCATCAGTCAGTTTTTCTTAGTTTTCAACCGATTTTGATGAAACTTAAAATGAATGTTTCGTTTTTACCATCTGCATGCCGTGGTGGGCATATATGACTGTGGTCCACTATCTTTTTTTAAGTCAGAGCCCAGAAAGCAACAGAGCTTCAATTATAAATTGTTTATCTAGAAATTTAAGAAGCCTGATTCAATAAATGGAGAATAACAGTAACAAGGTGATGTCTTTAATCAAGTAAAAGATTCTCAACCCAAGTTGACATCTAATAAAGAAAAGAAATTAGATGTTATTAATAATTAAAAAACTCATTATTTCTTACATTACTAACATATCACTGACTTCCCAATCTAATGTCCTAGACTGTTACATATTTCAGTATAAGTTTCTTTGGTGAAGCAGTAAAACTAGAAAGTGAACTCTTTAAAGTAAAGCCACTATTGAAGGATGGCAATAAGATAAATAATCTATTTTATTTGATCAGTCTTTCTGGAATACCTCTCAGAAAGTCCAATGTGAACAACTGGGTTAAAGAATTTCTTCCCTGACTTTGTCAGCTTGTAAAGTAGGGCAGATTAAAAGGAACTTGTCAGAAATCATGTACAGTTAAGATATATTAAACAAGTCATATGATGTGAGGTTATTGAAGGAAACATCTGTAAGACAGTACAGTTAGGAAATATAAACAAAGATTGTTTAATAGAACTCTAATTACTGTCTTAACATCTGTACATCATTATTATAATATATCTAATTCTATATCATAATGTACACCTTTCATTTCTACTTCATCCATTACTACCAATATCAATCTTAATATCTCATTATTAAACCTTTACTACCCTTTTTCACCAAATACAAAATAATTAATGTAACAGGCAGCTAAGCTCTGAAAAATATACTCATCTGCTAACTAGAATCACTCGGAAATAAAATGCAGTAGGTAAGCAACCGGATGGACAGCGATAGAATTCAGAATGGAAGAAACAATCGGAATAATCCTCAAGCAAAGCGATATCTTCTCGCACGAATTCTAAACTGGAAGAAGAAATCACACAAGAACGACATCTCGCGATAATGTTCACGCAAATCCCATTGTCACAACAATGTTTATTTGTTCGTTTGTTAGATGTTGGACTGGTGGCTCAGTGAGATAGAGGCTGGTTACCTAACTTCAGGGCCCAGTCTGCAATCTCAGGTAATGCCAGTTTATATTCAACACAGTTTCCCTCTGTCAATGATTTCAGTCAGATTGGACAAAAGAATGATGCCCCATAAACTACAATTTGTGCATCAGTCGTAATTTGAAAAAAGAGACAGTCAATGCATCCTTTCTCTCTGCACAACGTGTAGAGATGTCCATCTTCATCAGCCAATATTCCAAGCAGAAAATTGATGTTGATTATAGATATATATTTCCTATTTATTCAATGTAAAACAAGAATGCATATATAAAAACCAAATAAGTTTACCAGCAACACAAGAAAAAAAATTCAAAACTGCCATATATTATCAGTATTTGATGTTTGTTTAATCATGACAGTGTCGATACAAATGTACCATTATTTCTTACAGCTTTCATTACAATTTTACAGCTGCTATAAGTAATACCAGGTATACACAAAAGTTTCAAATCAGACCTTTTTACACCTGACATTATAATACAGGTAAAAGTTTACAAAAATCAAACAAAAAGTTAAACCAGAAACAACGCCCAATATCAACTTACAGAATGCACGTTTCTTAAATCTGAGAATGTGTTATGATATTGCCAGATGGTGTTTAGTAGAAGAAATTCATGGTGAAGCATTTTTTAGTGTTAAATAATCAGAATAACATAGAGTTGAACATATTGTATTAACACAGATGCTTCTCACTATTACAAACTGGTCTGTTGTTCAGCACCATTGCTGGGCACTAATTCTAGACATTCACCTTGGGAACTGAATAGAAAACAATCCAAAGGAACAGAAATACTCCATAGAAAGTTCTGTAGATACTGGATAATCCTAGGAAAGCCAATAGAAAGTAAATGATAAGTGATGGAGCCTGAATTCCATTACAGAACCTTTTGCTGAAAAATTCCAAAGTAACATCTTGATCTATGGATTCTATCCAAGACCCCAAAGTAAGCAATCCACTATTGCTCCATAAAAGTCATAAGAACATTACATATAATCTTCAGGCATGTAGCATCTACAACAGTACAGTAAGGAATATGGTAATGGTTTAAAAGGAGGTAGAATGCAAACAGTAGATTCATCAAAATATCATTTACAGTTGAAGATTCATAAATTAACAGTTCCTAATTATAAATCAATATGACTAATCATAAAATACCATATGCTCTATCCTATTAATAGCTAGCAAGCTCAATTTATTTTAAATATTTTATGTGCAATTTTGGTAATACTAGATTTTTACTCTATTTCTGAAATGTTGGATCATTTTTTTTGTAAATTTATATGTTGAATTTGACTAATATAAATGAATATATATTGCAGACTCAGATAATGTTTTTATCAAACACTTTCCATTTAAACATAGTTTAAATCACTTTACATAAATATCTAAAAAAATTTAGATAATTCCAAATAGAATGATCAAGGCAGAACATATTGGTAATCAATTGAACCTATATGGTGTCTGGAATGAGGTCAAGGTGAAGGACATGGTAATTAGCTAATTAAATAACACCAAGTAATGATAATCAAAGAACAGATTTCTTCTGTAGACCAATTAATCAAGATTATTTACCATCTGGCTCATCTTTTCAATCCACTGCCAAATTTATATCAGAAAATCTTAATTTGCTCAAAATTAACCTTATGTACATCATACAGAGGTTTTTTTGTCTTATTTTCAATTCCACAATGAGAAACCTTTTATCTTCTATCCTCAACTGACCATCTGAGACATAAAACCATCATAAAACATTTCTTTCTTTCCTAAAATCCTGAATGTAAAATGTCATCTACATGTTAAAAGGCTTCATTGAATGCAACTAATAAAATAAGCAGCTGAGACCAAGAAAAAGCGCAAGTGAATTACCACACATTTCCATAAAAAAAAAAAAATCGTTGAGTCCCAAATTCTTCACCTTGAAAGGTTCTTTTCGGATCTTTGACAGTAACGACCATCTCAAAGTCTTTGGCTCATAACATTACCTTTCAAATTCCGCAAAATTACTTCAACAATTGTTTCTGGATGCTTAACCCTATCCAACCACCATATACACCCTACAGTCAGATCCTAGCCAGACCCCAGTTATTACAGTCTGACCTACAATATATAGATTTTTCAACACACAATAATTAATCTAAACGGATACAAAGTCTATTTCTGTGCTAATGAAAGAATATTGGAAAACGAGAGGAATTGGATGTTAATATTTATTATCAAATAATGATGAGATTGAGTGTATAAAATGGCAATGACGTCAGACACGTCCAAATTGACATATAAATCAGTTAGCAGAAATAGATGTACTTACCTGAAGGCTTTCATAGCTTTTCCATGTCTTTTATTGTTATGATTAGCACCTAAGGTTGGATATGCATCGATACCACAGTTTGACAATGGTGTGGTGCAAATTGACCAAGGGTCAGTGTTTAAAGGAAGTATTTATATAGAAATGTGTGATTCATGTTTCATAATGTCAAAATAAAGTTAAAAAAAAGAAACATATTTATGAAATAATACATGTATTTGTGAATAATGCTATAAAACTTATTAATGCAATTATTACTCATCTTCAGAGAAATTATCTGTTTTCTAAATTTGCAATCCTCATTTTTGAAGAAAAAATTCGGTAATAACAGCATGATAGCAAGTAAACATAGATTTGAAAAAAACTTTCTTAAAAAGTTATTGAATAGCAATTCACTTTCGGTGTGTATGTGTATTTGTGTTATGTAATTTTCCATTTCAATAAAGAAATATGCATAATTTACCCTGCAATCTAAAGCAGAAGAATGTGGACTATTTCAAAGTACCCCCCCCCCCCACCCCCACCCCCTTAATTACTGCATGCCGAGAATGTTAATGTTAACAGAGTATCGGCATGATTAAAAGAAGCATATTTCAAAAGGATATGACCAAGTTATTAACTGCAGTAGTCTCCGTCGTACAGGATGAGTCTGTGTCATAAACATAAAAGACCTTCGACTAAATCCTGGAAAAGGTAATTCCTCCTCATCGTCATCCGAGTGATCCTCACTTTTATTATCCTCAACTGCTAGTTTCACTTTCCCTTTTTCTGCATCCTCCAGGCTTGGGGTCGAATTCTGTTCATTAGAATTAGAATTCTCGGGAGAAACGCATGATGATGCCGCAAGATTCTGATTTTCTAGATTTTCCGGAGTTGAATCTTCAACATTAGCAGATTTGTTTCCACCACTGGATTCCTCGGCCATTTTGCCTTCCCGTTTAATTTTCTCTCACGGAAATGTACACATGATTAAAAATTAATTCTTTGACACTCGTGGAAAATGAGATAACTGTAGCATATTATAATCCTCTCAAAGAACTTAATCTCAAATTAAAACAATCGTGTAAAATTCCTTTTTCATTACTCCTCGAACACTTTCTGAAAATTTCAACTACAGATCCAGAATTTATAAATTACACGCAAAAAGTGTAAAATAATTCCTTTCTTAGTGCCATGCAAACGTAGATATAGTTGAGAAGGTTGGAAACACACTTTTATTCTTCATATACCTTATCATATAAGATGGAATTCTGCACGCGCCACACGCCCATAGCAATTCCCAGAACGTTAGGCATCACAGATAAACATTTAACAAAGATCAGTAATAGGCTCATGAAATAACCAGTAAAATCCACGAATCATTTTAACAGTTAAATGAGGAAGGTATAGAAAATGGTAATCGAGTGTTGAATCCAGTCCTCCCACCTGAACGGTGCTAACATTATTTCAACTCGTCAGTTCGTCACGCCGTCGAGTTGTTTCTACCTAGACTGAATGAAAATCATGGCCGGTATTTCTCTCCCGTATCAATCAATACATTTCTCTTCACTGATCTTAGCATTCTACCACCGCAACTTGCCATCCATTCCTAACAATTTCTATATTTTTTGACGAAAAGCACGCGGATTGTTATTTAGGGGTGATTAGGGGTAAATAATATTAACGGATTAGGGAAAATAAACTCTGGATTGATTCCTTATTACCAATCGATCTCTAGTCGATCCCGAGGGACTAGGCTAGTGGCGGGAGATTTGATGTCTGTATTCTCTAGCTAATCAACTCGTGTTTCAATTCCAACAGACAATTGTATTGCCCAGCTGATTTGACAAGGGTGTAAAAGATTTAAATTTGTGATTTATAATTGATTGAAAACGTTCTGAGTTTGATAACAATCATTTAGACAGCACTGATAATAGTGTTGAACCGCCTCCCTCTACCATTCTTTCTATTAATCCCGAGACAGTTAGAACGGTCATTTGCATCTTAAATCGATTACCGTCTACAACTCGTCAATAAATCAAAGAAGGGGGTCACTTTACATGCAATAACCTTTTCTATGATAGTGTTTACATGTAGAATTACTTAATAAATCAAACAAAATCACACACAATCATCATGCATGCTACACTCATGAAACGCGTAAAACCTTTAGTTTCAGTGCAGCCAAGTCCACCAAGCTTAGAGACTTCTTGTGAACATACTGGAAAAGGCCAACAGCTCATCCAATATTTATGTAAGGGATAAAGACCGAAAACTGTACTTTCTGTCAACAGAAGAAACAAGAAAGTTGACAGAAAGTACAGTTTGAGGCCTTTATCTGTCTTAAAACATAGTATCTGTGAGTAAATTTTGTTCGTGAGAGAGACTCAATGTATATCACTTTAAGAATGTAATCTTTTTGAACATTAAATGAGCATACACACAGCTCACTACTGAATGTTGTTTTAAGACAGTTGTTACTTTAAGAATGTACACTTTTAAACATTCATGCATTCATTCATTGAATAGTTGATGCTTCAAGTGTCAAGATGTCAGGTTCTAGTGATGATGATATGTTTATTACCCAAACAAAGACTTGTGAAATAGATGATTATAATTTAGAAACGGATACTGTTCTTAGTGATGCTCTGAATTTGGAGGAAAATTATGTAAAAGAAGCCATACAGTTACCAAACTTTGATTTGAAGTACTCTGATATAAGCGATGTTGAAACGCCAAATTTGCCAGAAAATGCCAAGACTTCATTGAGGTTTTCCAAGCCCCTGGACGATTCTGATCTAAAGAATTTGGTTAAAAGTGGTCTTAGTATTAAAACTGAAAATAAAACTAGATGGGCAGTTAATTTGTTTAGTATGTGGAAGAAACACAGAAACAATAATAACTCTGAAGAAAAAGGTTTATTTAATCTTTCCAGTCAAGAATTGAATGAGGCACTTTCCTTTTTTATAGCTGAAGTGCGTAAGGAATCCGGTGATAATTATAAACCAAATACTTTGTATGAGATTATTATATCTATACAGCACTACCTTCGTCAGAATGGACGTTTAATAGCCTTTATGGATGATCAAGAATATCAGGGTTTAAGAAGTGTTCTGAACAGTAAAATGAAGGAGTTGTCGAGACTTGGACTGGGTATTAATACCAAGAAGTCAGAAGTTATTACAATAGAACAAGAAGAGATTTTATGGAGTAAAGGCTTGTTAGGTGAAAGTAACCCACAGCAGTTATTGGATACTCTTCTTTTCTTGTTTGGATTACATTTTGCACTGCGAGCTGCTCAAGAACACAGGAATTTAAGGTTTGGTATGAACACTCAATTGTCTGTTAAGTATGACTTAGAAGGTAAAAAATATCTGCAGTACATAGAAGATGTTTCAAAGACAAACCAAGGTGGTTTGGATCACAGGAAAGTCAGTCCTAAAATGACAAGAGCTTATGAAAATTCTAACCTATTAAGATGTCCAGTTAGATTATATGAAAAGTATATAGCTCTGCGTCCAAAAGACGGTACAGTAGATGCATTTTATTTGCGTCCCAAGAAGATGCCATGCTCTGATGTTTGGTACTGTGATTCTCCTGTAGGAACTCATACCATACAGTCCACTGTTAAACGTTTATGTCAGTCGGCTGGTATAATTGGAAACTTTAGTAATCATTCCCTTCGTGCCACAGCTGCAAAGGCAAAGAAAGTACAGTTTTTGGAAGTTGTGAGTAGGTGTTCACAAAACAGTACATTCTTTGAAATAATGGCCTAAAACAACAAAGGACTACTGTCTATGTTTTAATATCAACAGCGGTACCTGTAGGCTACCTACTGCAGGTTTGATGATGATCTTAATAGTTACATTCACTTCGAAAAATGACGGTCGCATTTCGTAATATAGGTCGAAACCCCATAGTGTTTATTGTCATTGATTATTAAATCATACAATGCCTTACGTACGACAGCACTACATTTGTAACTATTCTGCTTAAAGGGCAAAATCGGCATTCTCTGGGATTGATTTGATTTGTATATAGTTTTCAGAGGTACTAGAACTGCACGACTAGTAGTCAATTATAAAAGACAATTATGGATAGAAATGGCTAAGAAAGCTCAAATTTCAACGGTAAGCTATGAACATTATTACTGATTTTTACTAATTCCCGTGTCTGAAACTAAGTTAGGATTGATTGCTAGGAATGTTAGGTTGTAACATTGCGGTTAAGTAATGTTACGAAAGCACAATCACAGGCATGCATTTCTCTAGCGAGAAATTGGAGCTGGCGGATGCGTCAAATGAAGGAAAATCGTTTTCCAGTAAAGAAAGGCCCACTATTTGCAGCAAAATGCATTGTTGCAATCTGTCAACCTCCTAACCGATTCACTAACTACATATAAAATGAATAGTCTTCAATTAAAATGTTTATTGTAAATAAACCTAATATGACAATAATAGAATAAACCATAAGTATCACCATCGGATGAACATGAGGACACAAGTACATATGTACAAATGAACGGAATTAATTAAATAAATAAGGTGAGATGGTCACTTGCAATTCTCACACAGTCCCACACTTGGATTCGTAATTAATTGGTTTACAAATTCCTGTCATACTGACTCGTTTCGGAATATGAATGTTGGCACGACTAGATGCTTTTGTCATATGACAAGATGTGTTCAAAACAATTTGTACCATTTCAGTATTCTGTACACCTTCGGGATTATTCAAGTATTACTTATACATCATTTGGAGAGCGTATGGCAGGGAGGTGGTCAAAATTGGGAACACAATTATGGAATCGTTTACAGCTACAGCTGATCACAAAACGTTTTCTCAATCGTATCGATATCTTTCTTGCTAGGGGCTTTCAGTGTTGGCAATTAGGTCTTTGTCTACCATCCTTGTTTGGATGTTATGTGTGACAAAATATCCCCCTTTCAACATTTCTAAATCAACAACAATCCGTTCCAGTGATTTGGACTGCAGTGCCATGTTGTCTGCAATGGTTTTTAGCGTGTTATTCTGCTCACGCACAAGGTCCAGATAAGTCTGTTGGAATGAGGCAGAGTTGGAAAGGAACTGCTCTTCCTTCGTGCCCGTCATGTCCTTTGTCTTCTTTGCCTTGTTAGCTGATGTTTGAGAGGATGTGCAGGCAGATCCAATAGATAGACAAGGGCTTAGTGATCGGCTTTGTCCTGGAAAAGTGTCGCTATGAGATTCATCATTCTCATCTTCAATTCCATCCAAGTGTCTCTTTTTTGACTCTCCAAGTTTACGAATTTTAGTTGCACTAACTATAACTAGTATTCCTCATACATATCATTGAGGGCATGCGAATTCCTCAAGTCCGGTTCATCTGTTTTAGTCCCAGATGCTGACAGTTTTGTCTGAATTGCTCTGTACTCACGCCCTAAGTTCTTCAGAAAATCTTTTATAACTTGTTGTCCTCTTCCACCCACAATTTTTGCAACTTCATCATAAACTTCAAAATGTCTTTTTTTCTTTCGGAGGAATTCATCGTGCAAGTTTATAAGTTCAGTCAATGCCTGAATCATTTTTTCTACTGTCCATGTAAATTTCTTTGCCATATTTCCTGAAAAAAGTCAAGTTTAAACACGTGCCTTATTCTGTTTGTTTTTGATATCAAACAGTCATACTGTGACATAAGTTGGACAGAAGGCTGCATTGCCCAGAAGAAGATTGATGCCAGATTCTGACAGATATCCTTATAGTTTACAGTTATGTGACACAATAGTGCAAAATATCAAGTTTTTAAAAGTGCTAGCAATAAATAAATAAGCAAGCTCGCTTATTATATGTGTCCGATGCTAGTAATATGAAAATGACTCATCTAGGGCAAAACATACCGTAAACGTTTAAAGGAATTATCCAAACGCCCCAAAATAACGAGAACCTAATATTTTCCTGCATGGTATGACACTGAACTTCGAATTTAAAAACAGTTGTATATACTTACAAGCCCCAATAATTATCTGTCTACCAATTTGAACTAATTTTCAAATATCTACCCATTAATTTTGTAAGGAAAAATCTGTGTCTTCACTTAGTTGCAATTCTCTTACCGTCCTCCACTCGTGACGTACAACACATAGATTGCTACACTGCTAAGTTATTTCTGAATTACTACATATTTGAGAGACGGACACCCATGCAGCTAAAAATCGTGCAATTTTGACAACTAGTCTCTAACGCCCAGACTTTCGTTACTCCAGGCGTAAACAAAGTAGGTCTAAATGATAGAGGCAAGTCTTCCTTGGTAACTAAGCTAGTTTTATCATTAAAGGGATTGTAAAGATGTTTTCTAAACGTTTTATTTGTATCGGGGACATTGATAGCATTAATACATAAAACGTTTAGAAAACATCTTTACAATCCCTTTAAATGTGAAGTAACGGAGTGGATGAATAAAGAACAAATTATCAAAAGCAGTCTGAATAAGAAATGGGGGTTACTCGGTATAACACTAACACCGGGTGTTAACCCAACACCGAGTGTTAACACCGATACTGACACCTAACACTAATAAAAACACCAACTTTGAAATCACCCATTGTATATGGAAATAAGACACGACGTCTAGGATTTCAGACAATGTTTATGGAAATGAGACACGGCTTCTTGGATTTCAGACACTGTTTAAGGAAATGAGGCATGACTTCCTGGATTTCGGACAGTTTTTTTATACGCCCACGTGAAATGGGGGGCGTATATTGCCGTCCGTCGATCCGTCCACAATTGTCCGTAAACACTCTACAAGACACAATTCTTGATGGAATTTGACAAAACTTGGTATGAGTGTTCGTAATAACCCAAGGATGAACCCTATTGAAAATCATAAGAATAGAAAAATATTTAGTAGAGTTATTGCCCTTTTTCTTGAAATTGCGTTCAATTTTTAGCTTGTGAACACTCTAGAAGGGAAAATTCTTGACGTATTTTGACAAAACTTGGCATGATTGTTTGTTATCACCCAAGGAAACCCTATTGAAAATCAGAAAAATCGAAAAATATTTAGTATGAGCTATTGCCCTTGCTATTGAAAACGCGTTCAACTTTTAGCTCGTAATCACTCTAGAAGGCACAATTCTTGACGGATTTTTATGAAACTTGGTGTGAATGTTCGTAATCACCCAAGGATGAACCCTATTGAAAATCAGAAGAATTGAAAAATATATAGTATGAGTTATTGCCCCTGTTCTTGAAAACGCTTTCAAATTTAGCTTTTAAACACTAAAAGGCATGATTCTTGCTGATTTTGACAAAACTTGGTTTTATTATTCAGTCCCGCGCTGAAGATTGAATATTTGCCTTCTAGAGTTTTCACGAGCTAAGAATTTAACACGTTTTCAAGAACAAGGGCAATAACTCATACTCAATATTATTCAGTATCGCCCTAAAGAGTTCAGAAGAAGTGTATGACTGAAGGTTGAATATTTCATACTGGTGATTGTTACTGTACTGCTAAATATTTTAATGAAAAAATCTAAGCTGCCAGTGGGCATATATTACCTTGCCTGGCAAGCAATCTTTTAAATGAGACATGACTTCCTGGATTTCAGACATGAATAGTGCAATGAGATCTCCAAAAACAGACACATTTTTTCAACTAAGATTTCTTCCAGATAGTCTGAGCTAATATTCAAAATGAATTATTTAAAAGGAAAAGAAAGCCACGTGCCTTGAGAAGTCAATTGACTTTCAAATTTTATTATGTGTAGGGGAGTCTTATAGCATCGATGAGCACCATTCCCATTCCAGAAAACCACAGACATCTGCCGGAAATTAGGAATGATGCAAACAGAAACCATTAATAGCTTTATGCACGTAAAAAAGCTACAAAACTTTTTTTTCACAAAATTCTGAATTAAATGTGTTTTTCCTCCTAGGGCACAAAACTGGTCTAAAAACTTCTTTTCCACCATTTCTTTTGGCATTACTGCCATCCTTCTTAGTCAGACATTTTTACATCATAAAATACTTCACAAATTTTGGAGCACAGTGTAATGTAGAACGTGGTTAGACTATCACACAGTTTTATAGACAATGAATACCAGGAATTTGGTTGGGCCAATTCCAAATAAACTAGTTCTCCTTGGTTCAATGGACATGTCAACTTTAATGCCAAACACTATAGAAAATGCTGAAGGTGAGTGGGTCTGTTTCAGATACTATTAGTGAATAAGATAAACACCCTCTGTCTACACTATCGTGTAGCAAATTTCAACAACATTTTATTGGAATTTATTGGAGAACATCGGAAAGATACATTTCTTAACAGAATATTTTCAATTTGTATGAGTATTTTTTTTATTTAAGTAAGGGTGAGGTTTGGTCACTTTGGTGATGATTCAAAATAGTATAGGACTGGACCTTGCCCAATCAATTAGTAATTAATGCGCCATGTGGGCGTATTCAACACTTTATGGCGATTCTTTTTTTTAGTATAACCATTTCATGTCGATTTCATTTCTATTATGATGTGATCAATTTTATTCGATAACAGTTTATTGTTTGTTTCATATTATTTTACATTGATGTGTGGAGCCAGCTCGTCTTTTATTTCGTTTTATATTTCTGTTTAGGATGAAATTTGATTCTGGAATTTGCC